TATTCTAGGTATAGACTCTAGAGAAGTCTGTGGCAATGTTATGTCTCAGCAATTCTTGCTCTAAGAAATCTGTATGGGAATGTCTACATGGCAACGTCATAGCTGGCTGCTACCAGGAGAGGAAAGACTACAAATAAAGACCACATGCTCTTGAACACAAAAGAATAACCAAATGAGTTTAACAGACGTGCACATGTTCAAATATCCAAAATATCTCTGTGTCTTGCATAGCTACCTCACTCTGCTGCCACGTGTTGCAAAGAATTTTCCATATGCTAAATGGAGACTGTTCCCTAATGGGAACCACTTGATAATCTGGTAGATTTCTAATAAAATATTATTTTTACTGTTTTTTTTTTAAATAAAGACATCAAATCAATTACTTTTTTTTTTTTAACTAAATTTACTACATAAGTAATAACAGTTTGTGGAAAATGACTTATGTCATAGATTATTGTATTCTTAATAAGCAGCTGCTACAAATTTGGATATTAAGTAATTCACACTCTTTTTTTCTGTGCAAGGGCTGCATGATTTAAAAAAATTTCCATATGCCCCAATATGTGCCAGTGCTACTAGGATATCTGAAATCCAGCTGCTGTTATAATAGCTGCCAACTTTCAAACTACTGAAGAGAATAATGAATCAGCTTCAAGTCAGTTCAGATATAAATTGACATAGCTCCTAGCTAAGATGTGTGCCAACGTAACCTCTTAATTAAAAAAAGTAACAAAGGCATCACCATCCATTGTTTGAAAAAAATCCAACTTCTCAGAACAAGTAATTATAATGATGATAAAAAATAATGGATGCAACCTTTGCTCTTGCAAGTAACCCCATTGCAATCAATTTCCCTGCATAAGAATATCCGCTCACCTCAGTAAAGGTTGCAGGAGAGGGTCCTTCCATTTTTTAACAGTTATTCTTTGTTATGCCTCCCACCTGCCATGCAGCTTTTCGCATTTCACGCTTTATGTAGTTAAACCGCTGTACTTTACAGTGATTTGGATAAGAAAAATTGGCACTCTAAATTAAGTGTGTGTAAATGAGTGAAATCCCAAACCCAGGGTGTAAAGTGAAGAACCTTCATTCATTCAAAAAAACCCCAAAACAAAACAACAAATAAACCACACCCAAGCTAAGTCAAGCACAAACTCACACACAATTACCCATATTAGATAGACAGACAGACAGAAAGCCAAAGAAAGAAAATGAGAAATAATTATTTCAGATTATTATGAGTTTTCTGTCATTCCACATGGGAATATTAATTCAAAATAGGCCAAGAAGTTACAAAAGTAATTGTAAGTAAGATATTTAGTGCCACATTTTGCACTTCAATCTTAGTACTTGATGTCATAGGTAAAAAAACCCAACAACTAAAAACCCCCAACTTACTTAACAGAATGCTAAATGTACTATTACTAGCTGTTAAAAGTGTTTTCCTGCTTAACATAACATCATTTGTCTTTTTGTTAGGGAAAATACAACATGTTTAGACACTTTTACTTATGTCAACATATATTCTGTCCTTATAGGGAAAAAGTCTTTCCACAAATCGTTGCAATTCTTTTAAGGCCAACTCAGGGGATTAACATACAAAAGTAAATTTATTCCAGTTAGAGCACACAAAATACTACATAGTAAAAAAAAAAAGTCCATTTATGTTATCATGAGTTGGACCATCTCCAGTATGCAGATTATACAATGCCGAAAAGCCACATTAAAGTTAAAGACTTCAGCAAAGTGAACTTCAAGCAATCTATATATAGTAGTTCAGGCATAAAAATAATCTAAAATTCTATTATTTGAAAAAGATTAGGAATTTATTGACAAATTAAAAGCACGTCACGCAGAGATGGACAGTATTTATGAAACTCAGGCAAATGAGCAAACCACATCAAGAGGTTTATAGCTTTCAAAGTCTGAGTTTCCTTTCTCATATCTTAATTATGAGGTTGCAAGTAACTGCATTTTCAGCCACATGTTCTTGACATTGCAAAAAAAGAACACTGGTATTTTCTTGAGTATTAACAGACTTACTTTTCTTTAAGGAAATCCACTACCCGTTTGAAGTCTGCCACACAGTATTCTCTTTTCATGTCCATGAGTATGCTGTCAGAAGCAGATTGGACTGGTATGTGAAGAAAAGCATATACTCTTGGATGATTGAGAATCTTTGCCATTTCCTAAAAATTAGTCAGAAGAAAATATTTGTAGCCAATCATTAAAACAATGTACAGAAATCCCATAAAAATCACACATGCTAATGAGGGTCAGTAATGGGGCTTCTGATGCCCAAACTAAACTCAATTATATTGCCTATCCATGAGTCAGCAAGGACAGGAGGAGAGGTAGCAAGGATTATTCAGCAATAAAATGAAAGATTTAGGATTACACTTCACTTCAAATAGAATGTATCAAGAGAGTGCTGTCCTCTAACTAGTATTGTTTGGGAGAGACATCAATATAATTTAAGAGCAAACACTAGAAGCAAAGAATTCCAGAACTCTGACTTAGTGTAATTAAAATCTTTAGCAGTGCTCTCAGAGCGCGCTTGTTTTGATTTTCATGAGGGAGCAATGACTCTCTCTTTTTCTGTGGGAGACAAACCAGCCCACATGCATTTGCATCTAAGTGCATCCTCTTTAGTTTCTATTTTGAGCATCTTTAAGATTGGCCATTTGCTAATTAAGGAAGAGCCAATGAGTTGCAGACTTGCTCCTCTACTATGTAGCAGTTTTCAGCCTATAATACAAGCGCAAGAAGAAACTAGAAATTAAAAGGTGACAGTTGTAAAAGGGATAAAAATAAATACACTTATTGAGTACTTCGAAGCACAAGGGTGGGCTTGAAAGGTGATGGGAGATGTAATGGGATGAACAGAGGACATGGGGCCTTGGGGAAACTGGATGGGGGCTGTGTAGGGTCGTGGTTGGAATGTAATGGTCAGTATATGGGAAGATGAATGACGTAACTGCTTATTTCCTTGCTTTTTACAGCATTGGCAGGATATGCAATCTAAGTTAAAGTTTTTAGCTGCCCAAGTTAATGTGCGTTAAAGGGGTCTGATTTTTAAAAAGTGCTAAGCTAATCCCCCTCACAATCCTCCAAAAACAGACATCTTTAATGTGTCACAAATTGGGCACTCGAGAACTGAAAAAACCTAAAACTCACTAGTCAGTTTTGGAAATCTTGGCCTTAAAAACAGTGTATAAATGAAGAAGAGAAGTAGTTACATTATTTGGTGAAAACATTTTGCCTACCTTAACTAGATAAACCAAATGTAAACTATTAGATTAGTAGAAATATTAATAAATAACACCAATAAAGCAATACATGCACAACAAGGTATATGCAGCTAAACCAAGCTAACAGATCAACTCAAGGTACATCAAGCGCATTCACAGATAACACAAAAGTGCCACAGCGGACCTGTATTTTTTTTGAAACATTTCTGTAAAAAAAAAAAAAAAACAAAAAACCTTTTATCTAAACTTTAGATATTCAGATAACATAAGACTTGCATCCAACCCTCCCACCCCAACAAAACCCTAACACAAAGTTTTGCCAAATAAAATCACTCCCAGTTTTGCCAATCTCTCTTTACCTCTTCCCCGCAAACTTTGGGGATTTGCATAAAAACATTTGCTATGAACCACCCCAGTTTTACAAAACCAAATACCTTATTTTGCCCATCACTAATGAAAATATTATTTTCCTTTATCAAATAAGGGAAACAAGGCAAAAGAGCTCCAGTATGAGTGATTAATTGAATACCGTTCCAGTACAGAATTCCTTTGCACAGCAGACTTTTCCTCTTTAGCCAGTTCTACTCCTAATTCAAAACAGTTTACTCTGAATTATCCTTCAAAACTATACTGCATTTATGATACAAGTAAGTAATGGATAAGGAGTAAGGCAAAAATCACTAATTTGCCTCAGCATTTTTTGAAATTTTCTTAAAATGTGTCTCTGTCCAGCTTTTAAATAAACCAATCAATCAATCCCCTCACTACGCAGCTAGTGACATTTGTTAGCTTTGTTTTGTTATCTTCCTATTCAGCTTCCCTTGTACAATACGTGCATCTTTTTGTGCTGACCACTGAATTAAAAAAAAAAAAAAGGATTTAAGCTCCCACTCATATTCTCTAGCTCGCACATATAAAAGAAACATATTTTTTCATCTAGTTGTTCTAAGGCTCAGTGTAAGGCTCTTATATTTGAATCGATTCTTCTTTGTCAATTATTTAATTGTTATTTTATATTTACAGTATGATACCACCCAGAGACCCCAATCAAAATTCGGCCCTTATTGTGTTAAGCAATATATAGTAGTAGACTTGGTCCTTTGTGTTCCCTCTTTAACTCATCCATTTCTGAAGTTATCTTTTCTTTGCTCCCTCCCCCCCTTTTTTTGGCATAATGTCTGCTTCTCTTTGAGTCACAGAGCTCAGCTTTATATCAAATGTTGCTTTTAACTTTTGAATAGCTTGAGAGGTTATATAAAAATAAATAAATAAATGAATAAATATTAAAAGAATAGGAGGTATAATTGCATGTGGTAAGGTTATATTGAATACTGGACAGTCAAGAGACTGCACTGCAGTCTGATTTTATCATGAGTTGCTCAATATTTATTGTGTTTCTTAAAGCTCCTGCTCCCGGAGTCCTGTGATTATGTGAGAAACTCAACTTGCTTGCTTGCTTTTTTAAAGAAAGATTCCAGCTGTCATGATTGCAGAGAAAAGTGTGAAAATGTGAACTTCAGAGGCTCCAAAACCAGAAGACATTTTTTCTGCAATGACTACTCCAAACAAGAATAACCTAATAACTATTAACTCACAGTAACTTGAAGCAAATCAATGCAATTTGCATTTGACCTACTGCAGCACAGTGTACTAACAGGAAACTTAACTCTGTTCATTATAAGAGAGGAAGAGTTAACATGAAATACATTCAGCAGCTATATTAAAAAAGTCCCTGGCCAAAACTGCTTGTTCTAATTAGCTTTCCTGGAAACCACACAGGGGCTTCTATGATCCTTGCAATCAGAGTTGCAGATTTGTATCAGGAACAAGAACATGACTATGTTCAGTTAATAAACTCATTTTGCTCAATTCTGTGCTAATATGTCAGAGGATTCCCAGCTTTAATTAACTGAACTGCTCCTCAACTGTCATTATGGGCCCCTGACTTTTCACAGAAAGAACCACAAGTGTAAGATCAGGAAGCTAAAAAATCCTGAGGGAATGCATGAGATGGTCACCTATGTGCTGATAAATGTCACTGACATTTTCACAGTACTGGTTTATATTTGGTTAAGACACAGGGGTCTCAATATCAAACCAAATGTATCTTTCAAAAAGCTAATTTTGTGTGTGTGTGTGTGTGTGTGTGCACGCGCGCATGAGAGAGAGAAATGTGTGTGAGAGACAGATGTACACATTATATACACAAAGAAGGCCAGGTTCAGAGCAGGCATAGAAATTGCATCTCACATGGATTTGCTATGAGGAGAGCAGACAGTGGTACTACTGTGTCAGATACTGCGATCCCATGAAGTATCTTTAGGGTCCATAGTTTTAAATGAATGGTTTATGTGTGATTGTGTTCTACTCCATGAGAGAGGGCTACCACAGCTCCTCCAGGAACTAAAAACAGTGGACGGTGATTAAGACAAACCAGCCAGGCTGTAGCCCTCCTCCTCTCCCTGCACCCCCTCTCCCCCAAGAGGGAGGGAGTTTGGGGGAAGGGATAGCTCAGTGGTTTGAGCATTGGTCTGCTAAACCCAGGGTTGTGAGTTCAATCCTTGAGGGGGCCACTTAGGGTCTGGGGCAAAATCAGTACTTGCTCCCAATAGTGAAGGCAGGGGGCTGGACTCAATGACCTTTCAAGGTCCCTTCCAGTTCTAGGAGATAGGATATCTCCATTAATTGATTTATTTATTTTAGGTACCAGGGGATTCTCTGTTCAAACTGGATTCTCCAAAGACCAACAGACAAAGAATGGACTTTTGAATAAACAGCACAAGCTTACACTGATTCGGGGTTTTCATTTTGCATCTAAGACAGATAAATTACAACCGGTGAAAAACCCAGCTGTGGGTTCTGAAAGACTAAAACCTACCAGAGCCATTGGTGGAAGCTGGGAGTAATCTCTGGTAACCTTTTAAGTGTGCATTCAATTTCTTTGATTGCTTTAACATATTCTCTGTAATGCTTTTACCTTAATAATAATTAATTATAATAATAATAAATGTGCTGGTTTAGAAAGAGCTGTGTAGTAACTGATAACTGCATCAATACACTGGTCATAGTCCTCAGGCAGGAAGCAAAGCACAGGTGCTGGCCTTTAGACAGACTGGCTTACTGAGGATATCACAGTGTAAGGCAGGGAGCTGTGCAGCCTTAAAAATCCCCGTCAGGAGTGAGTGAGATGCAGAGCCTAAACTGGGTGCTCTTGGTGGACCATGGAGGGGGAAAACAGGAGCAGTTGCCGTGAAATTTGACCTCTCAAGATTTTCATCAGGGGAGAGCAGCATTAATCTGTAAAGGGGGCTGCATAGGAGCCCGTTCCAGTGAAGCATGCTGAATGGACATGCCTAACCAGTGCATCCTGCTTGCCTCAATCACAGCTTCTTCTCAGACAAAATCGCCCCATTTTTGGTTTATGCTGGCCCCTTTTAGCCTCCCCCAGTGATGAGTAGGTTGTACAGCACCTTTCTGCCACTGCAACCTCCCTTCTCTGTACACTTTCCACCTCTGGGGCCATCCACCACAGTTTACTTTCAGGGTTAACTTTCAATGTTGAACTGTTTTAAGGAGTCCTGTGCAAATTGCTTGAAATATGTTTCTTGAAAGGGTTTATTAATTCTCATAAAAATCAAAGACTTCCAGCTTTATTATCCAAAGCTCCATGGTATCTAACTAGTAAAGACAGACATGATTTCCTCAAGGTTTTGACTCCAGGTATGGAAAGTAATCTGATTTAAAAGTATTATTCCCCATGCTATTCTATTTCACCAGCTATCAAGAAAAATGAGCTATCAGAAATGGTGATAAGATAAAAGGCTTTGACTTAGATTTTGGAGTGAGTGTTGTCCCATCAAACAGCATATGAGTAAAATATTATTCATGTCTTGCAATTAAGATAAACTAATGATGTGTTTTAGGTAGTGGTACCAATA